GGTTCCGTGGGTTCGGGGCGACTGTCGACCGAGCGCATCTTTTTTAAGCTCTTCACATCAAGCCCGGACGATAAGATCACCCGGAGCCCTGTGATCGGTCTCAATCGCTTCTGCTTACATGCAAGGCTTTACCAAGGCCTTCCCGAGATGCATCGGAAGGATCCCCCGCGGCCATCATTGATCGCTAATGGTGGCTCAATTGAGACTGATCCTTGATTCTCACGTCGCCTGGAAGGAGGAATGATTGCAAGAGTTCAATACTTGATGTCTGCCTAAGAAATCCTCCCGAGGGTACATTCTTCGCAGTGGCTGAGAGATGGATATGAGGCGTTTGTACCCACCACCAGTTGGTCTATCGCGTTAGCATTCAGATGGATGTCATTTTTTTTATCTGTTACCACGCCGCGCCTTTACTCCTCGTTTTTCATCTCTGAGATGATCTCGACCTGGAAGAGCGCTATTTGCCCTTTCTCACTTTTTACATGCCTTAATTTCATCATGCTGCACGAGCCACTGCGGCGTCCGTGAACCACCGCCTCCTTAGGGCAAGGCAACACGTGCCTACGCGGCCGCGGCCAGTAATCGATAGGAGATTTTCGACAGGCACTGGGCTTACCAATTCAGCAAGAAGACGGCGGATTGCTAGATAGACTCGGTCTCTCGAATATTCAGTTCAGCCAGTCAAGTGGCCGTGGCGGCAATATTTTCGCGGAACACTGGGCACCACTTACCTCTCCTAGGTCTTAAGCGTCAAGTGAGATAAGGCCTAAACTGTATCTTCGGGGGCTGGATGGCGGCAATTGCTGCAGTTGAGTTCGGATGTCAATGCATTTGGTCAGCCAGGCGACACGCCCAGTATCACATCCATTTGCAATGTCCACGTCTCCTGACAAGGTTGAGAACTGATCAGCAAACAGACTCTCTGCGCTTGCTGGGGCCTGTAAATGCAATCTGCTTGGTGGTACCACAGGCACCACCTAACTTCATGCTGGGATGCCATTTCGGCATTCCGTATGGGTATCTCTCTTCACCTACGGGGCTTCACGGGTCCTAGGGGTGGTACAGAGTTATCTCATTCAAGCCAACTGCTTCGCCAACACGGGTGTCATGCGCGGGCGAACGCAGCTACCCGTACTCACCGTTGTCATGCAATGCGGAATATCACGGACGGAATTAGTGATCAAAAAGCAACTGATTTCCTACGATTCAGGTCATCTGATAGTCCCTGAAACCTTTCCATTCATTATGTCTAGAAGCATCTCCGGCCTCCCATTCGCGGACAAACCATTAGACTCTGCCTGACTGCCTTCGTGACGGGTCCCACTAATCGCCAGTTCAGCAACTAGCCAACAAATCTAACCGAAATGGAAAGGTTTCAACAAGTGCATTTCAGGTCCGTGACCTGGTCCGGTCGCCCCTTCCCAGGGCAGGGCCGGACGGGATGACATGGATATGAGGATTTCATGGCCCCCGTCTGTGGAGAACCCAAAGGTATGGGCCTCTCAAGACAACAAATAATTTGCCATGGGGGCACCTTAACGGGGAGTCGGAGTCCGCCAAGCATCGAGCCCGCAAGCAACCCTTTCACCTGCCCCAACTGCAGACGATTTCCCATGAACCTCCGCATTCAGCAGAGACTGGCGACTGGCTTTCGGGTCTCGAACGTATATCCTCTCGGAACTAGCCTTGCTCCTGTTCGTGTCGGGATTTGTCGGCACCAGCACTGCCGGTGATCGCCTTCAAGGTTGCATGCAACACAAGATCTAGTCTAACGCAGATGCGAACTGCTGCGAGGTCTCGAGGGCTTCTACCATGTGTTCGTTGCGATGTGGACATCAATGCTTGCGCGCTCTGCCTCGAGGCCTAATCGAGTTTGCTCGAGATCACTCAGCCAATTCGAGCTGAAACCTACGTACCACAGCTAGCTCGCCACCTAGTGTGGACTTTAGAATCGTCCCGAGGGGTTGGGCCGTTTGAGTCATATATGATGTCCATGATTAAAGCCAGGATGCCTCACGCTCTTTTGATGTTAGTTTAAGCATTACCAGCTTATGCGGAGAGGATGCAGGCTCTACAAAACTCGACATCTCGGACTTATGCGGCTTTTTTTTCTCGCGGACTATGCGGTCATACTCTGACACGTCTTTTATTTTAGCCCATGCTCCCGGTTTGAGCGTTATCAGCCGTGGCCTAACTCACTCTAGCCTGGCGGAAATTGGGTTAGGCGCGAACGTAGGAGCACAGCGTTCATCATTCATCATATCCTGTTACATTATCTCTCGCGCATTGTCAGGCCAACAAGGCCACTCATCGAGCATGTTTCAAAGCACGCGTTCGACAACACATCACTACTGAGTTGCCTACAAGGTTCTGCTGTACATACAGAGTCTGATCCTTCAAGGTGCTCCATGGCACGTCCCCTGCGGTTTTATCGCTATTCCCGATTGATTCGATTTCAATCGGCTTGTCTCAGACTAAACTAGAGAAGTTGGATCGCCCCGCAACCACGTCTCCACCACTCTTGCTATCAGGCGTCGGGCGGTTTCCGCCGTCCCTTCGTCAAGAAAACAATTGCACGTGTCGGCCATCTCGCGATTGCTGAGAGATTTTCCCGAGACCCCCGCCAGCAACACCCTATTGCCATACCTCTCGGGCATCGCGAGATATGCAAGACCTCTGCCGTTGAGGTCAACAGCATGGGTTCGGTGTTACGTGTTATGAAGGTCGTGTCGAGATCTAAGAGGATTCATACTCAATTGAAGATCAAGCACTCTAGTAGGGATCTATCTCCTTACCTCGAGCCTGAGTCAAGTTCATGCCACAATCCTCCATGCTCTCACACTCGCAATAGGACTATAGGATGGCTTAGGCGTCAAAGTATTGTCGAGCTCCTAAAAGACTCGCAATGGATTCGGGCCAGCAAGTCGAGTCACAAGTTTGACAACCGAGCGAGACTCATATGCACGTAGGGCGGGAGCCCGTCTTATTGATATGACCAAATTGAGGAGCCTAAAGATGTTCTTACAGCAACACATGTTCGGAAGATATCTAGTCTACACGGCGTTTTGGGGGGGGGGCTCGCTCTCAAGCCTCTCAAGTAGCACTATTACCTCTTGCTAGCTATGGCGAAGAGCAATATTCCTTTTTGTTATTTTCTTTTTCTCTATATGGTCGCTTTCCGCCTGGTTTTCTCTTTAATTCGCCGCCTGCGGGACACAAGTGGCAGGCCTGGCATCGCCACCACATTCCAAGACTTCATGTGAAATCCTACATGGCCTGGACGATAAGCGCTGAGACGGCATTTACTATGTACTACGTCTTGTTTCCGGTATCCCGATATCCCCGGCATGGAGGGAGGCGAGACCCTCCTGACGCCCTTATATCTATATACACTTAGGCTTGAAACCCATGGACTTCGTCCGGGGTATTCGTGAGTTTAGGTATTTCATATTCGATAGCTAGAGGAAGAGAGTTTGGGAGGTCAATTTTCCTCAGTCGCTGGATGCTCATGGAATTGCCTTTGGCGGTCGATTTCCGTATCGCGAGCGTACGTGCATGTGCATAGCTCTCAGGGCGCATACATACATACATGTACTATGTATTCTAGCATCGCGAATATACAATATATCACCGTCATCAACTCTCCTTTCCGCGGATCCGAAAACCGCTATTTCGTCATCCAACTAGCCCCGGAGAGGAGGAAGCTACATCGAATCCCCCCATCCATTCACTCCTATCATCTCGCATCAAGAATTGGGTCCTCAGGATATGGGAACCCATCCGAGCATCGCTTCCGAAATGATGGCCTCACCGCCCCGCAAAACAAAGCAAGACATTTATGCCATCCGTTCCCAGAATATTCATGCCGACATGAAGGGCCGCCGTTTGCTTTTTGTCTTTCCCTTTTTGCTTTTCCTCTCTTTCCGGGGTGTCCGTCGGGTCGGCGATTCTGGAAGGGGTCATTGGACCAGGGGACCGACTGACTGCTTCCGGGCAAGCCATTTCCCCCCCGCACGGGAAGGAAAAAGGAAACGCCATGGGGTCGGTTATGTATATAACTACATGCTCCCCCATCTTTTTATCCGGTGTCCTGAAGGAGGAATTTTGGTTTTTTTTTTTTTTTTGGGGGGGGGTTGATTGGCTTGGGGCAGATGGAACGCGCGTCTTCACACCATCATTGGAGTCTTTGTTTTTTTTTGAGGCGTTTGTGGGGCCTTGCTGTCTGCCAGTGAGATTTGAGTTTCGGTACGGCGACTGGTATTCGCATTTGGGGAGGGCCAATGAGTCGGTAAGATGTTGTATGGCTAAATACATACTGATTGCTGTTTCATGCTGTTGGGTCGGTTTAGCCGGTGATGTGTTAGTTGTTATCGTGGCCTAGAGTGCCTAGATGGTCGCATTGGGCTTTCGCGAGGCTCGTTTGTCTATTTTGTGAACGGATAGGTCTCTAGAGTACCCATAGTTTCTATGGTTAGAAGGAGCCCTCCCTAAACATATCCGTTATCATACAACGGGCCCCTATGACTATGGAGGCCTCTCGAACATAGTTTACTTTATGATATGTCGGTAGTCCCCGGAGGGATGCCTGTGGCTATGAGGGTCCCTTACGGCATGCGCAACCGGCGATACTGCAACCGGCGATACTGCAACCTTGTACATATTGGCCTTATGGTGCTCAAACCCGTCGCCCCGGTTGCGTCTTTGGGACAAACATTACTAATGCAACCGCTTGAATTCCAGGCCGCAGAAGTTGTTTGCTAGAACTGTACTCGGGGGTGGTGCATTTCCTGCATGAGGTCGTGGGGGTTGTTCGGCGGACGGGAGATCATTTGACGCGATGCGATGCGATTGATTTTGCGTGTTAATCGAATCGGATCTAAGTGCAATTGACCGGGGATCCCCCGGCCGCACTTCCGTAAAGAAAAAGCGGGGAAACAGCATGCTTGGGAAAGGGGGCAGCGGGGACACAAAAGGGTTTAAAAAAATAAAAAATAAAAATTTGGAGCTGAACCGGGACTTGAACCCGGGGCCTGTCACAATGATACCTTCCTGGGAGGGAGGCGGGAAGAAACCCGAAGCGACAATCATACCACTAGACCATTCAGCCGTTTGTAAAGGAGGGATGCCTTTTTGACTATTTATAGGTAGAAAGGCCAGGCGTGTCACGTGGATTAGCCAAGGAAAATTTAATTAGGCATTCGAATTTTCAGAGGAATAGGGTTTGATAGGGAGCTATCCCTTTTAGAACGACACTCTTGGGAATTTGACGAATATAACTTTTGTTTACGGAATGGGCAATGAAGCGTATAGATATTGATCTTTCCAGAAAGCAACAGCGATCTTAAAACTCCATACTAGTATAATAAAAGGCATGACAAAGGCACTTGTAGAAAAATTATAACCTTAATTACCTTACTATAGAGTAGTGTTAGAGGGAAGATCTAGTAAGGAATTTGTAGCTGTAAACGTCCCTGGTTGAGATTTCGTTGAAGTCATTAGGTTGTGCGGCAGGTGGAATCCTAAATATTCTGAATATTACGCCTCCTGCAGATGCAACCGGCCTATCTTGACAGCTAGGAGGAAATTGGGTATATGCTAGTAGCGTAGAAATAGGCACAAGAAGCTTGTAAAGGAAAGAGGAGCACTTGGTAGTGTCTTCCAATAATAATAGAAATAGTCCATGAGCCGTACGGTTCATAAACACCTAGAGAATACCTAAGAGTACTGCGCTTTCTCCTCAAGCAGTACCTTACCCTCCCGCTGCATCCTTGACATAACCGTCCCTAAGTGTTCTGTCTTTGCTCTTACTCTATTTTGTCTGCTCGCAATCTCCTCCTCAAAAGCAATTGCGATCTTTCGCTTCTCCTTCCTCAACTCGGTCATCTTCTTAACAACACCCGCAAACCTGTCGACAAACCAATCTCCGCAGCCTTCCCACGAGTCGAGAGAAAGTGAGGAGAAGAATTGGCGTTTTTGATCTGCGGGCAGGGTGGAGATATGGGTCAGTTGGTCGGAGAGGGGTGCGGAGGAGAGTTCGGGTGGAAGAATCAAAGGGTTGCCATTGGGATCCATGTCGAAGGGTTGGTTTTGGAGCCCTTCATAGGTCATAACTGCGAGAGTAACGGGAGAGTAATCGAGTTGCTCCTCATATCTCTTTCCTTTGGCATCTACCCCAGAGGCAGCCCTGGTGGCCGTGATGCCGGGTGTTCGGCTGCTTCTAGTCATGCCACGGTTCTCTCCCTCACCGCCACTGCCGTAGTACCTTCTGAGGCCCCCGCTTGGTCGAACCTGTATCCTGCTGGTACCTTGTCGATGTAGCATGGTCTGCTCCCCCAATTGGCTCTCTATAATATCCGTGCACTGCGTTTCTTCTGTGTTTTCTGATCTACCGACTGTGGCAACGGGGTAAGAGCCGAGCTCCCCGACCATTCTACTTCTAGGATTTCCTCCAGCGCGCTGGTCATGTGGTTGGAAGCGGGTTTGGCCTTCAGGTTTGGCGCGAAGTGCTACGCTAAAAGCGGTTTGTTCCAATTGAAGGTTTTCATTGATGGTGACAGTCTGGTCCGGATCCCTAGTATAAAACTCTCCCTCGTCATCGTCACCTGATGCCGAGTTATCGTCGTCGTCGTCCTCCAGGCTTTCGCCGCTCTGGGATCCTGGCCGATTCAGGTTATGAATGACGTTCTGGACACGAAATCCCCTCTGACTGTTGGGGGCTTGCACGCCACTAATAGACTGGTCAAAGTCTTCGCCGACGTCAGTATCAAAAACGTCTTGGTGGATGTCCGCCTGAACGTCTCTCTCATGAATATTCCCACTGAATCCGGTGTCGTAGGCATCTTTTGGGAACCGCTTCGTATCTTCCAGGATTCCATGTCGACTGTCGGTGTGCTCGTCCTTGATTTGGCCTATATGTTTTTGGCCAATACTTAGCCCGGAGCTGCTAGTATAGCGGCTCGAGTCGATGAGTTGATTTCTCTGAGGTGTTGGTTGGTGCACGGTTGGCGTTTGCTTGATTTTTAGACTCGCCGCTATTTGTCGGCGGGCAATCGGCGGGATACTGCTGCGCTTCGCCACGAAATTCTCCACACCATGGCTCATGATGGAGAACTGGAAGATGCAGGGAATGGTGAGGTGGAGAGTGGAACCCTTCAGCTTCAATGTGAATTTTTGGGGGGTTACGCGACGCGCTTTACTTTAAACGCGTCAAGTAGTTCCATATATGTACGTCTAACGGGGAACAATAACTGGTCAAAAACGAATCTAGAGGTCATTCCTGCGTCTTTTTGGAAGATTTTCTTTTCTACTAGTCGCTATTTCTATCGCTAGGTATGATGGTGTGGTATGGAACTTTTATCTATGGTTTGGCAAGTGGAACCTCATCCCAAAAATCCTTGCATGCCATAAGTTTAATGCACTGACAATGCGCTATGGACAATATTTATCTATTCCGGAAATATAGGGAAATTGGCAGGGGAGTATAGAATTCGCACAGCCCAGAACTAGCTCCTCCCTAGTGTTCTGTTCTGTTTGCCCTTCCGTATGTGCCGTCCTCAAGCGCTCCTTTTACCTGTCCTTCCTATCAATAGCCTTCTTGGAGCGCTTACAGCTAGGGTAAGGACAAAGATACCCTCCCTGTATGTCACTAACTATGTGCACTGCTGTTTTCTGGCGCAAAAGGTCCTTGATAGTCCTAAACCCTTTGGTTACGTAGGGAGAGTCTGCCACATCGCATTAGAAGGGCTAGAGATGGAGTTACTATGCTTTCTAACGCTATGTTAGTTTATCTACTGAGCATGAGCGAGGTTTAGTTGGCGACTTACCTTGGGTCACACTCCCTGGAGAAAACCCTCCTACAGATGCTATAGTGTTTCGACCATGCCGATTTTGGTGGCTGGGTGGATTCTATGGCTCTATCTATAGGCGGTATTGGACCTAAGCCCTTGCTCCAACAAGCTCCGATTGACTGTCTCTTCTTGTGGACTGTGCTTCCGGAATGCAGAGGAGGCTACGGACGATCATGGCCCGGGACTTCTGGTTCAGATCCTGAGTTCTCATTGACTCCCCTAGAGAGGTTTACGAAGGAGATAGCTATGCCTAGCCGACGTCGTGCATGAACGAAAGCGGCATCCGGTGCAGGAAGCAGCACCCGTGAAGTAGAAAGGAGTGGCTAGTTATACGAGACGCAGTCCAGCACTCGATCGGCAAGGCAACACCCGCGAATGTATTTGCCCGTAGCAACTAGCCTTTCATATCACCTGGGGCATCTCGTCTTCTGGCTCGCCCTCCAACAATAGCTTGTGCTATCTCCCCGCCTGCGCCGGGCCCGCTTACTAATGCCCCTGATATGCCGAGAGTTATCTTCGATGATCGCATTTGTTCCCGGTATAACATAAACTGAGGAAAAGCCCCTGCTGCAGCAGGCGCTATATATTCCTGGGGTGTAATTAACAGGGTGGTATGGGGCCAAATAGATGTGGAAGTCTTCTGAGGGGTCCGAATGGAGGTCCGCCTGCCCATTTCCTTACTCCAGTCGAACCCTGTGCAGTTCCCCCCACCGGTCCCTCTGGAGCTCCTCCAGCTTAACCTCTATCTTCTTGAACACCTCTCCTTCACGTTTTTTGTTCCTTTTTCTGAATAGAGACATTTGATATAGTTAACCTGAGGTCCTAAATTTTGTACGAAAGCAATAGCGAGAAAGCTCCGCAGGGACGTGAAGTTTTCGAGGCATTGTTTTCTTGAGATTGTTATATAGTTACACAAGAATTTTTGAGGCCTTCGTGGTCAAACGGTGTACCGATCCACAATACCCATAGCCTTGTTTCAGCCTTTCATGAATACTACCATTGGTCGAACGGCGATGCTCTATGGCTTACCTCTCCGTTTCACTTGCCTCATAGCTTTTCCGCAAGATCCTGCTTGGCAACTCTCATCCCCTCCTCCCCATCCACCAATACGCACCAGCCTTCCTCGCCCATTCCACCCGCCCCGCCAATGCCTGCCTTGAACTCCCTCTTCGCATATGCTAGGCCTTCGTCGTCGAAGCTGCCCGGTTGTAGCCATACCGCTGGTACGCCCGCCGCTTTCGCTTCTCGGAGCACTGCTAGAGTTGCGGATGGTGGGGTAATGATACTGATGGATGTCTCTTCCGGTGATGGAAGTGCAGATACCGATGGTGCGGTGGGGTGGGCCGTTGAGGAGATGGTTATAGAAGCAGCTCGGGGATTGATGGGTGTTGCTAGGAGGGAGTGGTCGAGGTACCAGGCGAAGACTTGTGTGTTTTGTTAATTATTTGAGTGAATGGGCAGAGAATTAGTGAGGTGGATACTTCACCTTTATGTCCAAATTTGGTCGGATCCTGGCTTGCACCAACGACAGCAAAACGCGGTGATGAGAAGAAGGTCTTGACCGCTGCATCCATTGCTTGGCTGCGTGTAATGGGCATCACGTTGAGAAGTGGATAAAGTGGTGAGTTAGAGGCGGAGATAACTCGGCTATCCGTAACTTCTCTTGAGGGTGCTAACCCTCGGTTCGACCCCGGCAGAGGAGCCCTAGATGTTGAATGCTCGTTCCCTGGGTGCTTCGCCTCAAGTCTGGGTGACATAAAGCTTAATTGAATTTGGTTTGATATCATTGAGTCATCTATCAGTTTGTGAACCCCCCGATGAGGCTAGACGTAAAAGGAATAATGCTCCAATATCCTAGACTATGCTCTGCCCAAAAATAGATGCAGCTCCGGCCGGTTATCCATGCTTCATGCGATTTGGGAAACATGGTTTTTTATCTGGGCTTAAGATGTGAAGAAAAGTGGAATGTTATGCAGAATCCTATGTTTTTGTGTTTCCCCCCAGTACTCCGCATACCCTGGAAATGTGGTATAGGCAAGGAGATGTCGCATATGATATGAAGACACTAAAGAAACTCTCCCCTTAGCCTTGGGTAAGGATATTGTGTGCTGGTAAACGTCATTTCACGGTCTTGTAGGGGTGGCCCTCTGGAGCAGTGCTTCGGGTCAGCATAGACGATCCTTGTCAGGGTACAGCAACATTGCGGGTATAGGGAGGGGGATATACCGGTATTGAAGACCCACTCATCTAGGCTCATAAT